TGAATTATGAAGAGTTCATGAGGGAGGGGCAAGGGGGAGGGAGGTAGAAAATGAGCTGATATTAAGGGCTCAACTATAAAGCAAATGTTTTGAGAATGATGGCAACAAATGTACAAATGTGCTTGACACAAAGGATGTATGTATGGATTGTGATGAGTTGTACGATCCCCCAATAAAATGATTAAATTAAAAAAAAAATCCAGAGAACTCAAGTAGACTGACACCTCTGACTTGACTGAGGACAAGGGGAGAGCACATGATCCCTGTGAAGACACCTGACTTTAGGGCCTACAATAAAGGGTCTAGCAGCATCTAATTCAGCCGTTCTCAACCTGTGGGTCATGACCCCTTTGGGGGTCGAACAACTCTTTCACAGGGGTTGCCTAATACATCCTGCATATCAGATATTTATATAATGATTCATAACAGTAGCAAAATTAAAGTTATGAGGTAGCAACGAAAATCTTATGGTTCGAGGTCACCACAACATGAGGAACATCAGGTTGAGAACCACTGATCTAATAGCTTCTCTATCCCACAGCTCCTGGGTACCTGAAAGCAAGAGAGGCTTTCCTAAGTGAGACATGACATTGCCACCCCCACAGGCAACAGAAATCCACATGGAGATGAAATAAAATACAGCTGTCTGTCACAGAATTTCCAGGCAGCCACTGCACTGACGGGGCATTACGTGTCCTGGTCCTTATACTCGGTGAAAGAAGGCCTGGAAGACCTTGGCTTGAAGGAACAAGAAAATATGGACACTGTGAAGAAGCCTGGAAAAGGTACGAGTTGCTGAGGGTCTGGGGAGGTGAAGAGGGTTCAGGTGAGAACCTTTTAGAGGCCACAGCGGAGTAACATTGTTCAGCTTTTCCTCCAATAATCAGAACTACTGACAGAGCAATTGTGGGTATTCTTTCTCCCGCCTTCTCTTTCTTTCCTTAGGTTTGTCTTCTAATGAGACTCACTGCCCCCAAGAGCAAAAGCAGAAACCCCAAACACTGGTGAGTTGGAATCACCTCATTTTCTCTGAATTGCTGCTTTATTTCCAGACAATAGGCCTATCTACTCTGTCTTTGGGTAAGGGAAAGCGACCATTTATGTCAATGTGCCTTATTAGTAATTTTTGCCATTTATTTTTGGTCTTGGAAATATACCCAAGGTTAATAATGCGAATCCTTTGGAACTCTAAGAAAAATATTTTTAAAAACTGAGATTGAGGACCTAATGCTGGGGGCTTAAGTGGAGAGGAAATGTTTTGAGAATGATGGGGGCAGTGAATGTACGAATGCGCTTTACACAATTGATGTATGTATGGATTGTGATAAGAGTTGTATGAGCCCCTAATAAAATGATTAAAAAACCAAACAGATTATTTATATATTTTCATGTGCTTTATACTGGACCACCAAAAAGCCTACATCACTGACATTGAGTTGATTGCTATGCATTGTGATCTTATAGGACAGGGTTGAGCTGTCTCTGCACATTTCTGACACTGTAAATCTTTTAAGAGTATTGAAAATCTCATCTTTCTCCTTCAGCGTGGCCAGTGGTTTTGAACTACTGAACTTGTGGTAATAACCTACTACACCTCCAGAACACCTTAAAATATGCTTTGCATCTGTGTACATAATCATCCCTATGACCTATATACTGGACTGCTTTTTGCTTTCTTTTTTTTTTTTAATGTGATAGTTTTATTGACCTATCTTACACAATCTAATATATCCATTCACTATCAATGCTGTTGTTAAATCCCATCCAGTGAGGTTATATAATTATCAACGCTATCTGCTACGCATTCCCTCCTCTGCCCCTTCCCATGCCCAGAGGGAACCATTACTCCTGTAACTGTGGAGGGTTAGCTATCTTTCCTGTCATGTACTGCATAATCTTTTTTTTTTTCCTTCGTAATCTTAAATATACAAATGAACTTATAGAAATCTAACTTGATTAAAGAGGTTAAGAAAAAGTGAAAACCATAATAGAAAGGGGGGGGATATTAAAGAATTAGAGGATAGTTTTGTAGTTCATCAGTACCATACCGTACCCTGAATTTATCATCCATTCTGAGAGGGACTGCACAATTATTTTGCAGGTGGGTTTTGGGTCTCCACCACCTCCACGTGCCTTCACATCAATTTGGTTGCGTGTTTTTGGACTTCTAATACCTCATTGCATCAACACTCATGACCACACAGGCTGGTGTGCTTCTTCCATGTGGGCTTCTTTGCTTCCCTGCATAGATAACCGCTTGTTTAACTACAATCCTTTAAGTCCCCACATGCTATATCATTTGATAGATGGCACCATCAGCTTTCTTCACCACATTTGCTTATGCACCCGTTTTTTCTTCAGCAATCATGTCAGAAAGGTGAGTGTCATATAATGCCACATTGTTAGAACACTCAGTTCTTGTACTGAGACAAGATTTAAATAGAAGCCCTAAGTTCCAGCTACTTCCTTGTTGTGAGTGACTACACACACACACACACACACACATATATATATATTCCCCCACCCCCTTTTGTCTCACTATTATATTCACCCATTGTTCATCTCTCAGGACTTCCTCCTAGATACAAATCAGTTGAACAAAACGACCCAAAAAGCTGCATCTTCCTCAACGTCAATTTAGAACACTTATTATTCTTCTGTACCCATCATTCTCTCCCTGTTCACCTCCACTTGCTTCCCCTGCATGGACCCATCTGTTCAGTTGCTGTTTCCATAAGATTTCCTATCCTGTATATCTTGTATAGGGAAACACCAAACAAAAAGATAACAAACCCACAAAAACGAAAAACCAAAAGTTTAATAGGGATCATGACATAGAACAGATGTATGTGTTATATATAGAGAAAGACGGATGTTATAAACCATTCGTCCTGACCCCATTTCTTTCAGGTTGACCTATCCCTGGTCCTGCTTGTCTAAGAACACATACACTCTTTTAGTCTTCATCCATCTTGTCCGAAAGGTGAGCATTCTGTAAGACCACATTGCTGTTCCTGTGGTCAGGGATTGAGCATTCTAATGCCCTCCAGTTATGCATATAGACTTTTCATGTGGCCCCCTATAAGCAATACCCCACTAGTTCAGATGGGGTGCCATGTGCTGCCCCCTCTCCAAGTCAGAAGCCTGTGATCAGAATTCTTGGGGGCACTGGGTATCTTTGCTCCCATCACTGGTCTGTTGCACTCCTTTGGTTGCTCCCAGGTCGGCAGGTCAGCCGGCCTCTCTTCTGGCACTGTTATCTTCAGGGTCATCTGCAGCAGTGCCATCTAGGGAGAGACGTCAGATCTCGAGCCTTTTGCTTTTTAATGATTGATCTATTGAAACAGCATAAATACACAGCTTAATAATCATAAATATTTCAGGTACCTTCATGTAGCTTCAACAGGCATCTAAAATGGGCAGTCTTAGTGGCAGGAATATGATCCAGTGTCATCAAACACATAATATCAGAATATCCAATTTTCCACTTTGCTGTTCACTTCTGGCAATAGCGGCCCACACAGGACTTCTTTCTCTGATTCTCCACAACTCACAGCATGGAACATAGCAGGGCCCCAGTGAAGTCTGATGGTGAAAATTGATGGTGTTTTGCTGCATTGATTTCTTATTCTAGGAGCCAGTCACAATCCAGGATGTCACTGTGCTTTTCTCGGAGGCAGAATGGGAGACACTGAGCTCTGAGCAGAAGACCCTGTACAGAGACGTGATGCTGGAGATTTACAGGAATCTGCTCTCCGTGGGTGAGGATGTGCTGCTTTCTCTTTTTTACCTCAGCACATATTTATTGGGCACCTACTGTGTGCTAAAGAATGAGCCCTGGAGCTACTCACCAAACCAGGGTTTCGAACATTATCTGTATGAATTATATTATGCCAGTTGACTCAGTTGTCCACTTACCATGGGGACAAATTTAACCCCTTTAGTTAGGTGAACCAATCCAGTGAGTTATTTGGATAGTATGTCTAGGAAGTCTCCACAATTATATTCCTGTGTGCTTTAGTGCATACATGAAGACATGCAGCACACACAAACATGTTTGTGCATGTGCCATCCTATATACATGTATGCATACATAGCTACCTATGTTGGTTTCATTTTGAGGATACGCTGTTAAACAGCATGGGTTTGATCTTTTCTGTTTGGTCATAAACTATAAAGTGCTGCCCTGTAATTGCAATGCCGCCTACAGGGGTTAACTAACGAACTGTGTTAAGGAAGTGTATAGCGCCTCCTGAGCAAATGGAATGTTTGCAGAGGAGATTGGTGGTACTGGTGGTAATTTATCTGTGGAGCAAGGAGCCCTGGTGGTCCTGTAGTTGCAGAATTGTGCTAACCACAAGGACAGCAGTTCAAACCCACCAGCCATGCCCATGGAGAAAGATGAGGTGAGGCTCTCCCCTGCTCCCATAAAGATTTATAGCCCCAGACACCTTAACTAGTGTTTCTTCGAGTCCAGTTCATGCTGTGGCAGTGAGTTTGTGTGGACTGCAGGTAGTCCCACAGAGGTATTTTTCCAGAGAGGAAGCAGCAGTAGGAAAAAAGAAGAAAGAAAAGCAAAGGGGACAAGGAACCTCCGAGACGGCAGTGAGAGACCTGGAAATGGCTCAGTGACAGAGACAAGAGTCCCAGGTCTGAGATGTTCGTGTGCAAGTTAATGGGGACGTTCAGCAGGGCCAAGCAGAGGGTTTTCCTCTGGGGGCTGACAGGACACCCGCACTGGAGAGGAGCTGAGAGAGCCGATGCACTGAAGCACAGAGACTGCCTATACGTCTCCTGATCCTTTAATCCACCACCGCCTGGTCTGGGAGCTCTCTGGCCATTGCAATGAATTGCCAGCCCTAGAGGAGAAGCAGACTGCTCCATGGAGAGGATGACCACTCTCAGACTTGATTTAAAAGTTGGAGGTTGGAGAGAGGACTGACTGCCATGCATGTCATTCAGCAGTGGGCTGACCCTGGTCATCATTCCCTCAAAGGTGGGCAGATTCAAGTGCTATAATACACCTCTGCCATTTTCACACAGAGACTGTCTCCTATATTTGAAGCCCACCAGATTGAGTGGCTTTGTATTTTCTCAATCCCTCTTTATAAAAAGAAAAGCCATGAATATTTCTACATAGGTCACAGAACTGTTATTTCCAAGTAATAGCAAAATGGTCGGGGCAGAATATATCACTGAGTGCCTATGGCTTAGAAGGCTTTAGCAGCAGGAGGAGGCCAGCTGCAGGAGAAGCTGTTGACAGAGCAGAAACAGTGTCTTATCCTTCCTTGAGAAATTCTGATGGAAAAAAAAAAAGAAATTCTGATAAGCTTGACATGTTGCAATATTTTCCTGTGTGGGTTATCTGGATTACAGTAATTAAATCCACTGTCATCTAGTTGATACCTACTCATAATGACCCTATAGAACTTGGTAGATCTGATCCATAGTTTCCCAGTCTGTACATTTCTATAGAAGCAGACTGCCACACCATTGTGCGGTGGAGCTATTGGTGGGTTTGGGCCATCATCTGTTTGTATTGCAGTCCAGGGCTTTAACCACTGGCCCACCTAGAATACTTCTGGATTGCAATAAGAAGGATAGTTGATAAAAATGGAACGAGTGACCAGTTAGTGAGACACAGATTGAGTTGGAGCTATTGTGAATGACAAATGTGAGTATAGGATTGTTGTTGGTTGCCATTGAGAGTATTCCAACTCTTAGTGAGTAGATATGTTCACAGATGGATTAGCACAGCTCCTGAGGGTCTTCAAACCTATGGCCCTTCAAACCTATGGCAGATTGTCAGGAAATCACTAGGCCCATCTTCTGAACCATCACCCTTTCAGCTAGTAGTCGAATGTGTGTGTGTGTGTGTGTGTGTGTGTGTGTGTGTGTGAGAGAGAGAGAGAGAGAGAGAGGTTTTCATGGCACACCAGCAGTAAGATATTGCCTGTCATAAACAAAGGCATCACTGCCCGGGCCTTTAACACTTCCTCATAGCTGCTCTCATAGAAAATTCTCTTCTGCAGAACCAACATCAGAAGTTCACCCTTGTTCCTCCTGCCTCCTGGATTTCCCCTGTCAGCAATTCCTCAGGCAGCAAGTGCTTCAGATCTTTCCAGACTCGTGTGCAGAGAATCACTTCCTTCCCGAAGATAACAGCCCAGGGCAGCCAGAACATCAGGATTCTGTTCAGAACTGCAGGAGTGAAAACACAGGACGACGGGAGAGAGAGGTCTCCAAACCCTTGTGTGGGAGCACAGGGGAGAGAGAGAGGTCAAGGGTTTTATCCAGCCCAGCCTGGGGAAGGTCAGCAAACCCCAGAGAAGGCAACACAAGGGTGGGAACGGAGGCCCACTCTGCCCAGAGGGGAAAAAACCTTGTGGAAACAGACAAGGGTCTGAAGGGCTTAGAAACCTCAAGATTTGGAGTAATGGCTTATAGAGAGGGTGATCCAGACTGTAACCTGAAATCAAACATCATGAACCAGAGGATCCCTTCTCAGGACAAGTCACATTCTTACAGTAAGTGTTGCCAAGGCCTTAACCAGAAATCCTTTTTCCTTTGGCAACAAAGGACACACTCAGATGAGAATCCTGATGTGTGTAAGGAGTTTCAGCCAGGCTGTAACCTCAAGTCAACTCTAGTCACATGCCAGAGGACACAGGCAGGTGAGAGACCCTATGCATGTGATGAGTGTGGTCCAGACTTTAGTGTTAGGCCAACTCTCATTACACATCAGAGGACACACTCAGGGCAGAAGCCATGTGGATGCACAGAATGTTCACAAGGCTTTACCTGCAAATCAGCTCTCATCAGACACCAGAGGATACACTCAGGGGAGAAAGTACATGTGTGTAAGGAGTGTGGACGAGGCTTTTGGGAAAAGTCAAATCTCATCAAACACCAGGGGACATACTCAGGTGAGAAACCTTATCTGTGTAAGAAATGTGGGCTAGGCATTAGCCAAAAGGCAGATCTCATCAAACACCAGAGGACACAGTCAGGTGAGAAACCTTACTTGTGTAAGGAATGTGGGCGTGGCTTTTCCTGGAAATCAAATCTCAGTACCCACCAGAGGACACACTCAGGGAGGAAACCGAATGTGTGTAAGGATTGTGGGCGAGCGTTTAGCCAAAAGGCATATCTCATCAAACACCAATGGACACACTCAGGTCAGAAACCTCATGTGTGCAAGGAGTGTGGGCAAGGCTTTAGCCAACAGTCACATCTTAAAAGACACCAGAGGAAACACTCAGGGGAGAAGCCACATGTTTGTAAGGAGTGTGGGCGAGGCTTTAGCCAACAGTCACATCTTAAAAGACACCAGAGAATACACTCAGGGGAGAAGCCACATCTGTGCAAGGAGTGTGGGCGAGCCTTTAGCCAACAATCAAATCTCAAAACACACCAGAGGATACACTCAGGGGAGAAGCCACATGTGTGTAAGGAATGTGGGCGAGACTTCAGAGCCAAGTCAACTCTCATCACACACCAGAGGACGCACTCAGGGGAGAAGCCACATGTGTGCAAGGAGTGTAGGCAAGGCTTTATCCACAAGTCAAATCTCATCACACACCAGAGGACACATTCAGGGGAGAAACCTTACATATGTAAGGAGTGTGAGCAGGGCTTTAGCCAACAGTCACATCTCATTGCACACCAGAGGATACACTCAGGGGAGAAACCTCATGTGTGTAAGGAGTGTGGGCGAGCCTTTAGCTGGAAGTCAGATCTCATCAAACACCAGAGGATACACTCGGGGGAGAAGCCACATGTGTGCAAGGAGTGTGGGCGAGGCTTTAGCCGAAAGTCAACTCTCATCAAACATCAAAGGGTACACTCTTTCTCCCTGGAGGCAGGCCACACACTATCTGCTGCACCTTCCTGTTGACTAGCCACTTTGAGCTATGCTTAAGCAGCCAGAGCCCTGGAGATGAGTCCTCTGCCATTGGATCTTTAAGACTTTGCACCCACTGGCCTGTGATCGTACAGCATTCTGCATCATGGCATGAGTCAAAAGAGGGATTTATGGCCTAGTATTGGACTTAAAGAATTGATCTGGGTTAGGATGTTTCCTTGATATATAATTCTTAATATGAAGCTCTCTTACACACATATGAGTGTCTGGATTTTTTTTTCTGTATTCAACCCAGTCTAATATATTATGGAGACTTTACTAATGTAGATAGAGAGTGTGGGCTAGGCTACAGGTGCAAGTCAATGCTCGTTGCATTTGAGATAATACACTCGAAGAAGCCACATGTGTAAGTAGTGTTGGTGATGTTTCATTAAGAAGTTACGTCTCCTCACACAGCAGAGGACACACTCAGGAGACAAGCCCCATGTGTGTTAGTGTGGGCGAGGCTGTAGCAAAAGTCCCATCTCAGCAAACACCTAATGCTGAGGCCTGCCCAGCAATAAAGAGAGAACCTGAACGTGGGGATAGAGATGTAAGAAAAGCAGACAAGATGGGATTGGGAGGTCTGCTCAGAGTTCAACCCCAAGCAACTTTATTGCAAAGCTTATATACAATCTGAGGAACTTGGCAAGCAAAACATTGCTTTGTACCTTATTCCTAAAAATTTCATGGTACATCTTGATTCAAATCAGTACATTCTATAATAATCACTTTGTTTGCCTGTCCTTCAGACAATCAGTATTGTAAAGGGTAACACAAAGCCTTGGATTGCACCCAAGTCCCTGACTTATGGGAAAAACCACCAGTGACTTTGTCATCCTGGCAGCTGGTCCTTGACAACCGAAGCTCAGGTGGGAAACCATATGGGTCAGGACTGGTAGTGGCTTTAGCAGCAATTCAATTGTCATACATCTCAGGGTTTATTCAGGAGACAAGATCAGGTGTAAGGAGTGTAGGTGAGACTCATTGGTGAAATCAAATCTTACACACCAGAGGACATAGTCAAGAGATGCCATGTTGGTATTAAGGGGACAAGGTTTTAGTCACCAATTAAATTTTCTTTCCCACCAGAGGACACACTCGGGAGAAGTCACGTGTGTGCAAAATGTGTATGTGTGTGAGCTGTAGCTATAAGCAAAGACTTTAAACACCAGAAGCTCACTGGAGAAGCCCGTTTGCAGTGAGTGTGTGTGGAGGCTTTAGCTGTAGTTCAGCCCTACACCACAGGACGTAGAACAGAAGCTTTGTATGCCAGAAGAATAGAATTTGGGACAGAGGCGCACTTCAGTGTACCTCAGAGAACAGGTTTTTGTGGACAGGGAGAATGTGAGTTGTTTTCAACATAAGCCATACCTCTTGTACCAGAAGCCACAGGGAGAAGAATTGTGAGGGATCGATGGAGGGAACTTGATTTCAGGGACCTTTCTTAGCTGACGTAGGAAAACAATGCTGCTACCACAAATCAGAACTTCACCACCTCTGAAAGGGTTCTGTGCTCTGAGTAAAGATCCAGGTATCCGTCTCGTAACTACACAAGTCTACACATTCTGTAGTCAAATGGAAAAACAACAAGAAGCTTTAAGTCTTCTAAAATTGCTTGATTTTTTTTCTTCATAAACCAGTTCATTCCAATATGTTTGTCCCTTTGGTTGCAGTAAAATGTTTCTTTACTAAACCACACATCTCGTGTAACTCATTTGGCTTCAAAAACAAAACTGTTCACTGCCATTGAGTCAGTTCTGAATTAGTGACCCTTGTGGCCAAAGTAGAATGACTTTGGGTTTCTAAGACTAACCCTCTGGGAGTACAACGCCTCATCTTTGCCCCACTGAGCATTTGGTGGATTGGAACTGTTATATTACAAAATATAAAATAAAACAGAATATGCAAGAACTACATAGGGGAAATCAGGAAATAGTTTAAGTAGAGTATCAGCTTTGGGTGTTGATGGTGGGGCAAAAAGTCTCTTTCCTGAATAGGTTCTGTGGGAGTACTAGTATTCCCATCTATGGTTTACACGACTATTGTAATGCTTATACTACATGAATTCTTTCATTTTAATACATTATTTTCAAGAATGCTAATGATTGGTATTGAAAGGTAGTTAGATTTAGCGACAAAGGGGTTGTTACCCCAATACCTGCAAAGGCCCACATACAGGGATTGGAGAGAAATCAGGCACCCTACTTGGACACCCGTGCTAAGACCCAAACTAGCGTGTACAGACTAGTACCCCCTAGCACACGTGAAACCTAAAACCTATGCTCCACCCAGACCATGACAACACCCAGTTGGGTCTAAACTCAGCCAATGAGGTCAACCAATACCTTCAACCACGCCTCCCCAGCCAGAGGTGTAAATATGCAGGTCACCTCCCCCTCTTACTCTCTTGGACTCTGCTTCAGTTCAGCTGTAGGCCAAGGGTGGAGGGCTTACTCAGGACCCACATGTTCTTGGCCTCTTTTTCCCTGGGGATTCCCTAGTTCCACATGTGTGGGTGTCTTTTCCACATGTTTTTTGTGTGTGTGTACCTAGTTGTGAACTCCAATGCAGCTTCCTTGCATCTTGGCACACTCCAGAAATACTGTACCCTTTTGAGACTGTAAAATCTGAAACTTTTCCATTCCTTCATAAAAAATTCACTTGGATTACAGAAGTGCTTTTGCAACGTGAATTCTTTCAGCACTGTGAAGCCACTGAGAGACCCCTGCCAGTACTGAGATGCTTACAATGCCACTGGATCTAAAGACTTTGTACTCACTGGCTTGTGATTGTCCTGCATTTGGCTTCATTGCATGTGTTTCGTGAGTCTGAAGAGGACTTTATAGATTGGTATCCAACATATGGGCTAATATCAGACTTATGGCCTTGGACTGGACTGGGTTGGGATGTTTTCTTAATGTACAATTGCTCTTGAATACAAACCTCTTCCTTATACATGTGTCTCCATGAATTTGTTTCTCTAGTCTACCCAGACTAACACACATGAAGAAAGAGGAGATGAAGAATAGCTAGGGCAGTTACAATAAAAGGGAGAATAAAGTGAAATGCGAAGAAGCGAGTGAATGTGCCTTTATCAGTGGATCCGTTTGTCCTGATATGTGGGATTGCTGATAGGAGGTTTGTAATTACTGTTGAATCTCAAAAAAGATTTTTAAAAAGCTGAACAAAGTTCCAAAATTGAAGCATGTTCATTTTCAGGAAGAACAGGGGATATACTTTCATAACATTGGGAAACCTTATTTTTTTGCTATTGAGATCGGTTAGCAGGGCTGGTCAATGCCTTTGGGGTTTTTGTTTTGTTTTGTTTTTGGCCAACTTTCCCATTTTCCCCAAAACCCAAATTCAGTGCCAGCTGGTTGGTACCGCTCATAGCAAGCCCTGGTGACATAGTGAGTGATAATTGGGCTGCTAACCAAGGTCGGCAAGTGAAAACCACCAGACACTATTAGGTTTCTTGGGTGGGAAATATCTCGGTTCCTGGCTTTGCACGAGAAAGAATTCACATGAAAGCCTGCTTTGTAATCCAGGTGGGTTTTTATAGAGGACGGGAGAAGTTTCAGGTTTTACAGTCTCAAAAGAGTACACGCTATTTCAGGGAAGTGTGCCAAACTGCCCGGAAGCCGCGCTGGGTCCACAAACGAACACGGGCAACCTCATGGGACTGTGCACTCACACGTGTGACCTGAGGCCAGAGAGCGAGCCACATGCCAAGTGCAGAAGCAGGGTATAAAAGAGGAGAGAGAATCCTCTCCGACCTGCCCCTGACTGCAGTGGGGGTCAAAGAGACCGGTCCTCCCACTGCCAGGGTATTTTAAACCTCCAGCTGGGGAGGCATGGTGGAAGGTATTGGTAAACCCCATTGACTGAATTAAGCCCACCTGGGTGGGGTCATGAGCCTGGATCTAGTTTGGGCTGCCCAGGTATAACGCCCATCTAGCTGGGGGGGCCGGGGGCGCACTGGATTGGAGCATGCCCAGTTAGTGTCTTCATAGGTGTTCAAGGCTCACCTCATTCCTTCCCAATCTCCTTTATGGGGGCCTGTGCAGGGAGGGCAGCCTGTGCATGGGAGAGACAATCCCTCTATTCTTATCCTGGCTACCTAACAACTTCACATGAGAAAGATGAGGCTTTCTCCTTGAAAGAACAGTTACAGTCTAGGGGCAAATAAAAATGAGGTGTACCCTATGAAAAATCGTTCCAATTCCCAGTACCAGTTCATATAAGAAAGAACTCAGCTGTCATCTAAACAAAGGATACACATTTTGGCAGGCAGTTTCCTGTTGAACTTCAGTCCAGACAGTTTGTTTGAAGGCCATGGCCACTGCCTCTAGGGATGGTCATTGTGGTGCATTGTGATGCAGAGTTCCAGCTTAGAATGGTTTGAAGAGAATATTCCTCTATGGCTGTGAATTACTGGTGTGTCTCTTAGACCACAAGATCCCTGGGGAGCTGTGGTTAATTGCTGAGGGTTTTGGAACTCATAATTTAAGCTCTGATACCATTCCCTCCATCTGATTTGGATTTTATTATATTTACACATGGTGTTCTCACAGGCTGATGTGTTTCTTCCATGTGGACTTAATTGACACCTCACTTCAATGGCTGCTTGTTTGAAGACAAACCTTTAAGACCCCACATGCTATTATTTTGATAGTCGGATATAAGACCCCTGGGGAGCTGTGGTTAATCTCGGGGTGGTTTGGAACTCACCAAATGCCCTGTGCGAGAAGGATGAGGCTGTTGACTTCCTTAAAGATTCTAATCCTAGAAATCTTGTAGTTTCACTCTGTCCTCCTGGGTTGCTGTGAGTTGGAATCAAACTGAATAAAACCTTGTTTTTACAGTCAGAGTGAAGTTGCCTTTTACAGAATCCTATTCCTTTTAGCATGCTGACATTTGTGGTGAAAGTATGTAACCACCTATGTGACAAAAGGGGCCCTAGTGGTGTCGTGGTTAAGAGTTGGAACACAAGGTCAGCATTTCAAAACCACCAGCCCCTCCAAAGGAGAAAGATGGAGCTTTCTATTCCCGGAAAGAACACACTCAAACTCATAGGAGTGGTT